CGAAGTCCTAATGGAATCTACTGGACTACGATATCAGACATGCGTATTTTAACGTACAAGGAATACTACTACGACAAATTAAAGGCATACCAATGGGAAAGGGCTCTAGCCCACCAATAGCAAACATGGTGTGTGCCTTTGACGAGTATAGATGGTATTTGGGAATCGGAATGGATAGGAAGCTCATGCACGGCATGAGATTCGTTGATGACGTCATGATCATCCTAATTGCAGACAAAGACAATCTGACGAAAGAATTGGAATGTTTGGAATCATTCAAAACATGCTATCACCAGTCACTAAAACTGGAAAGGACGTCAAACATTGATAGTACAGAATGGACGTATCTGGAAACGAACATAACAAAATCAGAACACGAACCCCTCCTGAAGTGTACACATAGACTGAAGAATGAAGCGACACTCCAGGAGGGGTTGTTAAGCTCTCTCTCTCTCAGAACTCTGCGTCACTTCAGGAGTGCGGGTTCCGAAAAAACAAAGATACTGACGATTATCGGAACATGTCATAGGATGGTGGCAAACACATATGATAACGCAGATCTGACGCCGATAATCAGAATGTTCGGACGAGAACTCAGACTGCTAGACTACCCATGGAGGATAACCCGCACGGCGATAATGGCGTACCTCAGGAATTGCAAAGACGCTGAAGTGCAAAATAAATTCCAGGAGTTTCTGAAAGAAGAAGAGACACCAGCCACATGATATAAACAAACAATGAAAACCGAAACAAATTCCGAAGATTGGGAATCCAAAAACACTGGTGAAGTAAAGATATAATTCCAGACCATGAAGCAAGAACAAAGAAAGAAACACGCACGACAAAAAACGTACAGACAAAAATCTGCAGATATAATGACGCAAGAGTAATAAATGCATACGAAGCGAGTCGCAAACCAAGGATAAGCAAAAGACGAAAAACTGAACGACTGAGGATATGAAGTACTCGCCTGGTGAATGTTGAAACCCACGGCCGCGTGATTAACAAAACAACAAACAAAGACCAAATACCAGTCAGAAACAGAAGATAAAGGTGAATACGGCCAAATAACCAAGGCAAGTACGGAATATCCACAAAACATGGACACAAAGAACACTGACCCGCACGAATGCGGATTACACTTACACTTATATCTGTCTATATGTATATATATATATATACATATAGGTATTAGAGATCGACGGCAGGACGGAAAATCGACGGCGACAAGGACGAGTCGGAGCGCGACCACCAGAGACTCAGAGGAAGGATGATGAGAGACTGCAAGGATGTGGAAAGTAGGTGGGGAAGACTAAGGACAGAGGGTATAAATTTTGAAGATAGTGGCTGAAATGATTACCTGAGCAGAGAGGTAGAAGGGTAATCGCGATGAGATTCTCGTCGCATGCCGTGGACATGACGTGTTTTCTGTGAAAGTAAAGCCTCGCACGTTTTGTCTACTATTGCATTGTCTCTCTCTCTCTCTCTCTCTCTCTCTCTCTCTCTCTCTCTCTCTC